TCAAAACTACTCAAACAGAAAAAAAAAAAAAAAAGCTAGATGAAACAGAATCCATGTGTGTGTATTCAAGCCTCAACAAATTCTCAAGTGGTCATGTATAATAGCAAACCAAAAAGTCTTAACCCCCATTTCATATGGGGGAGAAATGAGGCATACTGTCCCATTATTTTGCTATAAATCATGTTTTGTGGATGGCTGACAGCTTTTTATCAGATCTAACCTTTTCAAGCCTCCATTAAGAATGCTAACATTTTCAACTTTGACACATTTGCAGCTCACAAATTGCACAGCTGATTTAGTACACGGGGAGGGAGAGAACCAGCATCCAAACTCATTTTCTCTTAGACCGTCTGTTGTGTCTGCATGGGTAGAAGGAAGAGGGGGGAGAAAATTGGGAACGTCAACAAGGTCTGAATTTATTTGTACAGCTCTATCCCTAAAACACTATGTTAGCAAACGAATTTAGTCCAGGTAAAACTTTTTACAGCAGACCGCAATGGTTCAAAATACAAGATTCCTCCAATCAAAATGAGCAATGATCACAGAAAGACAACAAGACTTCACAATATAGTACCTGTATAAATTCCCTGGCACAAATTAACCTTTTTTTCCTTTTTATTTGAAAGACATTATAGTGTTTAATGGTGGTTTTTATCCTGCTGTTTTTAAATGCTTAGTCAATTTTTTATTCTCTAGATGTTTTATATTGTAGCACTTTGAGATTGTAAAATGTAAAGTGCCGTACAAATTGAATAAATTATTATTATTATTGTTATTATTATTATTATTATTATTATTTTGCATCCAGCCATCTATCAATATTTTGGCAAGACTTTCAGTTTGGTAAATAAATGGTAAATGGTAAATTGACTGTACGGTATTTGTATAGCGCCTTTCTATCTTATCAAGATACTGAAAGCTCTTTACAACAATCTGTGTCCTCATTTATCCATTCATACAGCATCTATACAAATAATATTCAGTGCTTTATCACATTCATGCACTGATGGGACACACATCGGAGGCAATGAGGGGTTCAGTGTCTTGCCCAGGGACACTTCAGCATGTGACTACTGATGGAGTTGAACCCCTAACTCTTGCATTGGAGGCTCTAACCACTCCGCCACAGCTGCCTCGGTGGCTAAGTATCAACATTAACTGGTCGTCATTAGCTTCACAGACTCTCTCACTGGTACATTTTCTTCTTTAAATCACTCCTTGGTTTGCTGCTTTCATACATCTCCTACATGTCACATCGTCAGTGCAGCTACAGCGTGCGCTCTAGAGACATCATTACCTGCAGCCTCCCCTCAGTGTGGACTGAATTCGGCAAAAGGGCCTTTCCTTACTCCGCTCCCGTTTCCTGGAACATCTTGCAAAAAGATCTGAAGCTGTCGAGTTTGACCTCTCTAAGGGATTTTAAACAATTAAGTTCAATGTAAAAATCAATGCAGACATCTTCCTATTTTTAGTATTGTACCCCGTTTTATAATGTAGCTAGTTTTATTTTGTTTTATATCACTACTTTTATTTACTTTTCATTTTATATGCATTTTATGGCTGTTTGTTATCTGTAGCTTATCTGTAGTTTCATTGAAAACAGGTCTCTCTTGTAAATGAGTCTTCGTGACTCAATGAGACTAACCTGTATAAATAAAGGTTGAATTAATTAAAATACGTTTTGACATTCTTTAAACACATGCTCGCCTGAAAATAATGAATACATCACTTAATGACATTTCAACCTCTGCAAATCAAAACTTTTTGTGGCTTCTTCATTGTAGTTTGAATCTATTAATCAAATGAATTGTCAAAAGACCAAAACTGGTGATTAACAAATCATAAAACTCAAATCCGTATGTCACCAAATTTAGAAAGTAGAAAAACAATCAAGACACCAGTGACTATTTTTACACATGTATTTTGGACAAAATCAGTGAGACAGACGACATGATTAGAACCTTCGGTGCTTTTGCTCAGAGTCTTCTAGAGGAAACCTTGCCAACTATTATTGATTTAAGTCCACCATAATCAAGAAGGGTTGGGATGACACCACGCAGGAGTACATATTTCATTACATGCTGTGTTTAACCTTACGTACTCCTCCTAAAACACACATGAGGCTTGTTATGTGTTTAATATTCACAAGCAGGTGAATAATTTTTATGCAACTCTGATAGTTGGGAGAGATGGATCACTCAATTATCTGAACATCCATCAGAGCAGAGCTGGCTCTGGAACGGCACCAGCTAAGATTGATGGCTGGAAGACACCGATAGCTGCTGCTTCACCATCTCATCCAGGCACTGGGCCTGAACGCAGCATCCGACTCTACACAAGCCTGTTTTCCTCCCCATTTTCCCTCCATCCGCTTTCTTATTTTTTTCTTGGGAGCATTGTAGGTGAAGCGTCATTACCCCTCACTCCACTGAAGAGGGGTTCATTATGGGGTTAGTGTGTTGGCAAGACTATTGCTTGGATGATAAATGCAGTTGGTGAGGGCTTTGGAGGGAAAATCAGTTTTCTTTTTTCTCCATTTACAAAAACATGTCCTCACTATGCAATGCTTAAGGGCAACTGGAGAACAATTAACACAAGCAATGGGTGAAGCAGCTCAGTTAAAGCAAAGAGGGGATTCATGAAAAATAAGCAAATCACTGCAAACGTCAATCAGGAACAATGAAGTAATTACAAGAACTTGTGTGTAATTCTAAGGGCAACACCACAAAGAATGAGTCAAGGACTAAAATCAGGCTTTGAGGGATGGAGGAATGGACAAATACACCAACAGTCTGCGCCTCAAGGCCAGTCTCTTAAACTGAAACCGACTAATGAGAGTTCAGGAGAAAATGTATTATCATATCCCTCCTATAATCTTTATTAATTTTTGTAACTAAATGACACTGTAATATTTCTTATTTCACAGCCTTTTGCATACCTGCACACATTTACCTTAAATATTAGGGCAATCAAATCGAGTCATCTTTTGATTTAAAATGTCTGTAGTACATAACATGCATTTTTCTGAATTAGCTGCTGGGCAGCATGATGGGATCTACTTTGTCAGTAAATTGATATAAAAGGACAAAAGCACAACAGTGAATATAAATGAAATATACCCATAGGCAACTATTTAAAACTTGGACAAAACTTCAACCTAACATTGAAATTTTAAGTAATGAAACCTTTAAAACTACTGTAAAAATACAATAAGTAAAACATGTAATAAATACATTTTAAATTAAAGTTTACAGATACAGTAGTCCCTCGCTACTTCGTGGTTCGTTTATCGCGGACTCGCTCGGTCGTGGTTTTTCAAAATAAGATTGGACATGACACACAACCGGCTGACTGATGGATGAGTCGCATGATCGGCATGTGATTTTTATTTAAAATAATTTATTTTAAATTATTTAGCACCTCCTGCACATTTGTGCAGCAAATACTGCAGGACAAACTTCCAGCTGCAGCTGATCAGCTGTTCTTTGAGCAGAGCAGAGAAGTGGGTGTGGCCAAGAATGCTTGCAGGTGGCAAAGAGCAGAGGAGGCAGAGAGCTGAAATCATGACATTCTGTCTCTTTTAGAGCATTTGGAGTTTAGAAACATTGTTTAGAATATTGCAAGAGTGTGAGAAGAGTTTAAAACACCTTTATATATATATATAATTAAACTACTACTTGTACTACTGTTCCTACTCCGCAGTTTTTCCACTTATCAGGGTACGGATCCCCCATGACAAACGAGGGACTAATGCATTCTTGAAAAAAAAATAAAGTTGCATACAAAAATAACACTTCTAGCTAAATGTTCATGCTGACAAGCTGCAGCTGAGTTTTTAAATATCTGCATCTTGTTTCGGTTCGTTCTAAATGATTAGTAATGTTCACGTCTAACAACCAACATTATACAGTCTGCTTTAAAACTGTTGGTTGAGGCGTATAAAAAATAATTTAAGGTCAATAGCTTCTCTTTCTGTCTTTTTGTTTCGATTCATCCAGAAAGGTGATCCTAATCTAGAACTGCACGGGCACAGAAAACAAAGACATGCATTTAACGAGACAGCTCAACTCTGCCTGGTTTTTGGACGTGGCGTCAAAGAAAGGCACCTCCTGGCACTGCAGCACCATGTCACAACATGTCAGATGGCCATCACAGCTGATTGGGATCAGGGCTGGAACGAGAGGTACTGGGATCCAGTGCCAAGGGGGGCAAGGATGTGAAAAACATGTGGGAGCGACCAGCAAGCCCGTGTGTGTCTCACTACACAAGTCTCGGATTACCTCAGCTTGGAATGAATATTTACAACTAAGTGTACTGCTAAACATTTTTTCCCTCCATCATAGTGGATGACACTTTTTATTGTTACAACAGATCTTTTTGTTGGCATTTAACAAAAACTGATTGGCATGTCCAACTTCTAGATTCATCAGAGCATTTAAAGTGCAATGGACCTGGATGACACTAACTATGTGAACCATTATTTTCTACTGTAAAGTGAAAAACATTCTCAACAATCCCCGAGGTAAAGAAACGATCTCTCAAGAGACAATGACATAGGTCAGGTGTTATTTCTAGAATTCATTCAGAAAAGTGAGTCCACACACACACACCTCAACTTTTACAGCAGCCAGACCACAAAGGCCTGTTCCTGTCCAAAGGTTCTCATGACAACAGATGCAACTCATTAATCACTCACTTCCTAGCTTCCCTTCCAACACAATGTTCTACAATACAATCAAGCTCGCAGGCAAACCTCTCGTTCTGTAACACGAGTTCATGTGGAAGTGGTGTAATGTGCAGACGTACCGTGTGGAATTTGGCAATGAAAGCAGCCTACACCAGAGAGGAAGTGGTACGGGTTGTTGGACAGAGATATGAAAAGTTTGAAGAATACTGAAAAGTTGACAGTGGTTTGTGGTGACTAAAAGAAGAAGTTCTGACAGAGGAAAAAAAAACTCCAACATGGCCGGTACAAATAAAATAAATTAATAAAGGCTTACCTGTTCCAGTAACTCCAGAATTGTTCTTTAAGGTAGGTTTGATGGCTGTGATCATCCCCGAAAGAGGCTTTGCTCTCAATCCAATGTATAATATGTCCCTCCACAGCTTTTAAAACATAAAAACACAAAAATGTTCTAAACACTGGAATTGACATGTTTCAGAAGGCAAAAGGTGGTATTGTCTTTTCTTAGCCCATATCAGACTAAATTTAAGAATCAGACACAAGTTTGCAACATTTTGTACATACGTCATACTTAAAATAAATAAATGCAGACTTCTATAACGTACCAACAGGAACCTCCAGGATGATATCAGGTGTTTTGTCATAACCCATAGCTCTCAGTTGATTTTCATCTACAAGACACAGAATTTTAATTATTTTTGATAAGGGAAAAAACTATTTCAGGTAACTGAACACGTTTTTTTATTTTTTATTTTTTTATTTTAACCATATTTATGATACAAAAACTCAAAGTTTTCTTAAATTGTTAAGCACTAAAGTGGAAGAGAAAGACACCAAATGTTATATGAATAAATATTGCCACATATTTGCTGCTTCTGCACAAAAACGTCTTACACTTAATTAGTGAGCTTCACTCGAAGTTGCCGTTTGATTAAACTTTATAAAAAATACAGCAAGAAGACCGTTTGGTATCATTGCCTCTATAAGCCTGACCCCTGACAGTGCAGGCTGCAGCCATTGTCCTTGACTTCTGGCGTGCTTTGGTCATTATCCCTCCAACACCTGATTTCTCCATTAAATCTCAGGCTGACCAGGTCATTCAGTTCCAAGGTCCTGCCTCTTTGTCTCCAGCCAAGCTCAACTAATGGGGCATGGAAGGGAATTGAAGAGAGATGGAGGGTGGCGGTGTCAGTGGTGGTGAGGAGGCAGCATCAGCCAAGGGTGAAGAAAAAGAGCTGAGACAGGTCAGTAAGCCAGCCAGAGGCTTGTGGTACAGAAGGGCATGCTGATTGTGATAATGTAGGTGTAGATGTGCGTGTGTCACTCGATAGCACACACACACATACACATATGCTGGGCAGTTGATATTCTCATGTGGCTGTGATCGCCTTTTACATCAGATTTGATTAAAATTAATGGGCCATCCCTGCTGTTGGGTAGCTTATTTCCAATCCATTTATCAGATAGGGTAAGGCTGCTACAGTGGCCCTTGTGCCCCTCGAACTCTGACAGTTTTGGAACAGTCCTGTGTGCAGCCCTGAAGAAAGGTCAGTGCTTCGTGTCCAAATAAATGATATGCTCTTAATGACAGAAGGAATGACTTTTATCTTTCATCGTTCATCTGACCTTGGGGATGGTGACATGATGAGGTGGTGGGAGGAAGGGACTGTTACAAGCTCCTTCAAACTATTTCCGATCTGGACATTCTACTGTGATTTAACAGAAGTAGTAAATGTTCCAGAAATGGTCATATTAAAAATAATTACGCAACTAATTTAATAAATGTTTCATTCTTAACGGTCAATCGTTGAAGACAAAAAGAAAAAAAAAATAGCACAACCTAAAATCTCTCAGTCTGTGGAACCACTTCATTGTTCTAACTGTAGTAATTACTGTTGTGAAGGTGTGGATAGAAGCTAATTAAGGTGAGGCTTTCAGGAAATTCATTAAGCTTTTGTGGCTGTAACTCTGAGCACTCAGCTGGATCACTGGACACGGGGCACTGCTTTAAATTCAGTGTCCAGAAAAATAAAGGGAATATTTCAGCTTTAAAAGCCGACTGAAAACCATTATAATAATCACGTTACAGTCTAGATAAGATACAAATAGTATTGAGTATCTTTATGCATTTTTGTTATTGCTTCATTAAAAAATAAACAGTTGCTTGATTATAATAAAATGCATTCAAAAGTTTGCAAAATAATTGTGAAAATAGTGCACCATTGTTTGAAAAAACACACATCATGTCTACATGTTCATAAATGATTAAGTGTTAAAAACAATAAAATGAGTGGTACCAAACGAAAAAGGTTGCATTTATAACATCTACCAGGTTTTGGGGGTTGATTATAAAAAATACTCAAGTGGAACGTTTTAAAGAAATGACTTACTCAGAAAAGAAAGGTTTTTCTCCTTCAGTTTGTCACAGAGCAGAACCTCATGCTCCTGTCCAATGACACTGGGAACAGAGTTAAGGATTCCAACAAACAGCATTTCACACGTCCGCTTAAACACAACGGTTCACAAGAATGCACATTAAATCACAGCACTGACATTCAATCTTGAATCTTTTTCACTTCTGTGCAGTGGAGCCCGCACTAATGTTTCCTACAGTAATTTTAATGTTTAAACTTTTATCAGTTGTAATGTCTTCATGAGTTTTGTGCTGAGGATATAGAAGCTGAAAACGGCCTCTACATGTTAAGAAAACATGCTTGTTTGTGAAAACGTGTGCTCAAGTGTGTAATATGTCTTATTGCCACAAAGAAACAAAAGTAGTACTGTCGCTACTCTTGGAAAGAGCCAGATTGCAAGACTGCCCAGTTACATGAAATCTAAATTGCGATTGTTCAAATACATTTCTCTCCTGCTGTCAGTCTTCAAGAAGGAATAAAAAGGTGAATCAAACCACTAAATGTACAACGGAGCTTTAAGGCCGCCCTAAGAATTTTTTTAAAGCCATAAAATTGTGAGAATAAAGTTGTATGAGACTATTTTTTTCCACAAGTCGGATCCACAACGCAAACTGTCAATCAATCCAGTAGGCGTGTCAGCAAATGACCAATTCGAAGCTAAATGCTCTTTACCTGCAGAGCTGCTGCTGCAGCCCATCAGAGTGTACCACCTTACTGTAAGCAGGCTCAAAGTCCTGATACTGACAATAATCTGATGCTGATGTGCTACAGATTAACTCTCTCTTTATTTGTAAAACCAATACCAAAGTATAACTTAACAAGATGCTCAACATTCTTCATTTTGCCACAGTTAAAATGCAGTAAACTCTGCTTTATCGTGTCCGAGTTCGGATAATATTACAACTCATTTAGCTTCGGATTGGTCATTTGCTGACATGCCTACTGGATAGATTGACAGGTCGCATCGTGGATCTGACTAGTGGAAAATAAAATAAACGAGATAAATGAGAGCTGTAAAAAAAAAAAGTCTCGTATGACTTTATTCTCGTAATATTAAGATTTTATTGAACTTTATTCTCCTAATACTAGGACATTATTCTCGTAATTTTATGTTTTTTATTTATTTTATTTTTTTCTTAGCGTGGCTCTAAAGCTCTGTCGTACTAAATGTGACTACAATGAATGCATATAAAAAGTAATGTATGGTAAACTGAACATGAGTGACAATATAGTTAAGAATTTGCTTTTCTTCTTTCGCTAGTTTTTGATGCAAAGTAAAAGCCACTTCCAATTATAATATTGTAGAAACATAATCAGACTTTCAGGGTAATTAAATCTGCTTTCAAGAAAACTCCAACGTGCATTCTCTTAATGCAGAGAACAAATATCAGCTTTACAAAATACATAGGCTGCACCGATTACAGTGCTTTGCTCGTTCCAATAAAACCTATTAGAAAAAAATGCTTTTTAAATAAATGTCATTCTGAATTAGGATGGTCACTTTAACAAAGTAGTCTTTTCCTTAAGGCTAAACATAATTTATGAATTATCTATTTTGGTCAAAGAGGAGGAAATGTTCTCATGGCATCATGTTATGCTCAAACACTAATTGCTTAAAATAGATTCTAATAAATTTATACCATGACTTGCACAGATGCATAAAGAACCATTTCTTTTCATGCTTGGAGTTCTTTGAAGGCACACAGCAGCAGGACGGCTATTATGAACTCTGCAGCAAAGTAACAGACTTTCATTTGACTGTGAGGGGACAAGCACAGAATAGAGAAAAGGAGGGGAAACGAGGAGGAGGGCAGGGAGGGACAGGCTTGACTGGCTGTGAACAGAATAACAGCCCCACCACACTCAACAAAGCAGACACACGATAACACATACATACACATTTACAATTATTTAAATAAGACTCCTCCCCCAGGAAATATGGAGTGTGCTACCCAGATGGTTGTCCCCAAATAACCTGGACTTCCCCAATGGTAGCTTATTTATAGTTGGACAAAGGATGGAAAATAAATGTTATAATTTGACAAAAAAAAGGGTTTTATTTGGTCTAATCTCCGCAATACCTGAGAAGCATAATCTAAACTAAATAAGATCCAGTTTTTAAATATATTAAAACTCTTTAAGAATGTGTTTTGCCACAGTGCTTTTAAATTATTATATTTGTATCACAGAACATTGGGTCTGATCTGCTGAATTCACATAAAGATGCGTTTTCATCAGCCCGTCGTCTCCTCCCGCTCTTCCCTTCATCGCCTTCCGAGGCCCTTGGATCGCTGATAGTGGGATGGCAGATAGGATGAAACACTTCCTCCGCGAAGCAGAACTTTAATGTCAGGTGAAGCTAGACACATCTCATCCCCTTCAATAGCTCCTCGTCATTTTCAAGCTTAAAATTTTATGGGGATAGGATACTGTTTGATGCAGTCTACCAGCGGTCCATAACAGCAGTCATTTATTGTGCACTGAAAAGAAGGGGAAGAAATATTATGACATGCCAAAAAAGGTGGGTGGGAGGGGGTAAGGGAGGTGAGGGAAGCCCTTACATTGTGGGAAAGGGGAGAAAACACAAGGGATGCAAGCGGATCGACAGAAATAACTGCTGGCTGCCACGTGACTTGAACAGCTAACAGGAGCGACTGATGGAGTGTGTTAAGTAGGTGCACCATTTAAAAACCCATTACATTTTAGCATTGAGTTTACAAAATGGCAAATAATGGGGGCAGCCACTAAAGTAAAATGATGTATAGTGATGTCAGCCTAAAGAATAACATAAATATCTATGGTTTCCATCAACTATACCCTTTCAATGACTTTATTGTAAGATGTGGGTGAAATCCAAAAAGTTAAATTCCTTACTTGATAGACGTTTTTTGCCAGTATTTGGTCTGGAATTGAAGATGGCTCCTTCAGCATGCTGCTCACGACACTTTTGGAGGCTGAAAATAAGACAAAGGAATCAAATAGAGGCAATAAACACAATTAAAAAGATAAAGACATAAAAAACAATCTTGTCTAACTGTCAAAGTGTTTTAGGGATGTCTCATTGCTACTTTTAGTAGAGAGCCATAATGTCAAACAAAGCAAATATAGACACAAAAAGCAGCCTGAACATTCTGCAATTTACCATGCATATAGTTAACGTCGTATTTCTACACTTGTCCATTATACAGGCTTTCTGTAGATAAATGTTTCAGTCCACAGCACAGGCACTTCATGTAGTTTATCTATGTTATAAACGCTGACTATTCTGCATCTCTCTTCCCATTCTTGCTCTACCAACATTATAAATCAGAAAAGAAAGCCTGCTGGATCAGCTTGCAGTCGCTGCAAATGCAAAAAAATCCTTAAATCATTTCTTAAAAAGATTTGGATTAAATGGATTGTATCATTGTGTGACGAAATGGTTGAGACAAGTCATTTTGGTGATATATTTATACACATGCTTAAGACATGTGCAGCGATAATACAGGGAATGTTTCTATACACATTTCAAGCATGGATTACGCCTGTATTAACATGAGAGAAATTCTCAAGTTCTGCACAGTAAATGCATTTAAAGACAATTGGTTTGTTTTAATAAAGCTTTAAATCCCAAAAGTCTAAGGATAAATATAGAAAATATTTAAGTCTATGTTAATATATTTAATAAACACTTTTTTTTCTAGTCCATTCTTACACATATTAGCCTTATTTGTTGAGAAAAGAGAACAATACTGTAATCCCATCTGCTCTATGATTAAATACAAAGGTGGAAGGGGAACAAAGAGCATTTAGCACATCTCTTGTGGTTCTTTCATGTATTTATTGACATTTTTGAGCCTTTTCTTTTTGTAACCAACCTGCTTTTTGTTCCATCTCTTCCAGCCATGATGCTCTACCAGCCCACCCCATAAACCCACACTGCTCTGTCAGAGCTGCAAGGCATGGGGCTGTGCTTTGCTGCTCATTTTTCTTGGAGATTGGTACCTTCACACTCAAATCCATACCATGCTCCTGTGCAGTGCAGGCAGCGGTGAAGAAAGAGGGTTATATTTTCCCCTTGAGTTAGGACACCTCTTGACGAATGATAATGGATAATCGATAAAGTGGGAAATATGAGGCAGCAAACTTTATGAAGCTAGGAGACATATTACTCTCCAACAAACACTGGTTTCCCTTAACAAAGTCACTACTCGACTGTGCCTAATAATCTGAAGGAAAATCAAAGGACCTGCAACCACATCAGCAATATTGGCAACTTATTCCACTTTAATGGCATTTTGATTGATTTTTTCCCCTCTTCCTAATGGTCGTTTTATAGATTTGACGCAGCTTCTGCAAAACAGTAGCGTGTAATAAACCTCCCTGAAGGCAAACGTTAGCCATTAAAGCTCTTGTCTTACTAAGGCTCATAATTGGAGGTTGACCACCACCACATTTTGGTTTCTAACATCACACACACTTCTAGGACTAGACTTATATTTCTTCCGTCTCTAAAGCTCTTTGATGTAAAAACCCCAGCTTTTCCGTTGTTGATGGTCATAATATGTGAAAAGATGACGTTCCCATGCTCTGTTTGAGCAATGGGGCTAAAAGTAACCATAAATAGGTGACCTTGGCGCTGACATTGTAGAATTTCAGCCAAGCATTGACCTGATGAAAATGGAAGGCCAGGCTGCTAATAAATCAGGATGCTTTTAAAATGAGTTTACCCTAATGCTCATTCATCACACACTGTAATGCCATTTGCTGGCCCGGGATTCGCTGCTGTGCACAAACACAGCAGTAAATAACAACAGGGCCCTTGCATCCTTCGCATCGCTGCAGCCTCCAACATCGGCATACATTTATTAAAGACGCCCCCGCCTTGCACAGCGGCACACCTCCATGACACCCTAAGCTCCTCTCTGGTACACACACACACAAGCCTTCCTTTACAAATGCACAGTTCCACACATAAAAATAAAAAGCATAAACTGAAGAACACCAGACAGAGAACAAAGCCCTGCAGCATAACTTTGCACCTTTAAACATTCACCAAATTCACTGTAATTGTCCCATGTTGGTATAAATTCTTACTAAGGCACCATATCACACCGTCAACATCTGAACACAAAGAACAGAGAAGAGGAGAATAATAGATGTGAAACGCTACGCCTCCATTGGGATTTGCTAAAGAAAACAACCAGTGTAAACAAATCACAAGCCTGTTTTCATATGCAACTCCAAAACAAGATACACAGCAAGGTATCTGCTTGGCTTGGGTTTTCATTTCTTACTTGTGTTGTTTGTAACTACTCTTCTTGGAAAAAAAGTCATTATCTGGAATGCAAAAAAGCAGAGAAACCTCATTAAAAAGCAACATTTGTAGAGGGAGGACCGTGATAAACAATAATAGATGACAATTGTTATTGCCCCTGACACTGATGAGCTCCTCTGGAAGTTTGTTTATTAATTAAAAAACCCACTACTTTCTGTGGCTGGGGGGGGGCAGTTACCAATTTCCTTGATATACCCCCCTCCTCCCTTTACACTCCCCATGTGCAAGCCATTGAGCTGTGGAGGGGTACTCGTTCATCAAACTTCATGAAGCTTGGGAGAGACAGGTTCTGATAATGTGCGCCGCTAAAGCTGATTTTCCATGATGAATCTCGGAGCATATAAATTGGCTAATATCTGAAAACATTTACAGATACTAGAGGAATTGACTACTTGTGGGACATGATGGATGAGCCTCTCCAACACTGGCCGACAGCTCTGCAAATCTCTGTGGCTGCCTAAAGCCCTCATTTGATTTTCCAATTTACTCCTTTTAAATTTATCCTCCCGCACTGAAAAAAAGATAGGAAAGTGGGAGAGTATAAGACAAGGAGCAGAAAAAAAAACATCTTTTTTTTTTTTTTTTTTTACTATCCACGGCGGTGTGTGGGTGTTAGTTGATAATATGAGGTAGTATCTTGTGTGCAGGAGGAGCCCAGTCCCTGAAGAGGTTACTGGGGCAGAACTGATCTGCTTCCACCTGATTCTTCTTGATAGCGGCGAGATGAAACTCTACATTTCAGTGTGTGTGTGCGTGTGAATGAATGTGTGTGTGCAGTTGGAGTAATAGTAGACCAAGGGAGGCTCTGCTATAGAATGAGGCTTCCCAGGTCAGGCCATTAGAGTGTGGCAAAGACTGACTGGAGCTCCTATGCTGAAAAGGAGTAATTAGTATACTTGTCAAGTGAGGCACTATGGTGCTGCTTACCTCCCATACACCCACCCCTTACAGACACACACACTAACATTTGTGTTGTCTGCTTCCTAACTCTCTCCATTCTTGCTAATGAAGAGCCCTTGCTCTCATTACTTAGGAACAAAAAAAGTTGCATATCTAGAAACACCAGCTGCACACAGCAGAAGGCTGTGAGAAAGAAGCGAGGAGCACTTGAAGAGAAGAACGGAGGAACAATAACAAAGTGACTACTAAGAGATGCTATGAGCTAAAATAAAGAATAATATTCAGTTATCAACCATTTTATCAGCAAAACACTGAAACTATTAAGAATTATGTCAAGTAATCGAGTAGACACTAACATCCTCACAGTGTTAACATCAAACATGGGACATTTATAAACTTGTGTGCAAGGCTTCTGTAAAGGAATATGACAATAAATCTTAAAGGCAGCTGAATCACATACTTACAAAACATAAAGCAGCAATCTAATCTGGAGCTGGGCCTTGGGAAAATGGAAAAGGTCAAATCTAGCAAAATTGCCTCCTCAAAAAGTATGTCTAAATCTAGAGGCACATCAAGTCCTGTCCAACGGAGGAATAGAAAGAAAGATGAAGAGATAGGGGGGGGGGGGAGCAGGAGCTCCCCCAGTGTGTCCACTGGTGACTTCTGAAATGTATCTACTGATGCTTACAATGGCAATAAAGCCATTTATGTTGGATTTATGTCATGATCACAACTAAGGCAGCTGAGAGTAAATGTGCATACATATACATACATATATATACATATATATATATGTATATATATATATATATATATATACATATATATACATATATATATATATATATATACATATATATACATATATATACAT